GAGAAGGGCAGACATACGATCTGCTGTCTCTCTTGAGCTGTGACGTTGCCGCTTTGCACGGGCCGGCTATACCACGATGCCACGCATTTCGGGTATCGCGTCTCGTGTCTCGCCGAGTGCCGAGTCTCGAGTTGACAAATCGACGATACGCTATACCCGCTATACATTACATTTGCTTGTATATTTATAAATTCTAACTTTTATATTTATAACTAAATAAATTTAAAAAAAAAAATATATATATATATATATGTATATACATTTAAAATTTATAAATATATAAAGATTGCAAATATAATTAATTAAATAAATATTTATAAACATAAAAACTAAAATTCGTAAATGTATATAATGTATAGAAATCACCGTTCTATGCTTTTCTATCTAAAAAAGTCTTACATTAAAAACCTTTACTTTAGCATAATAAATTTTAAATTTAATATTTAAATGCATACCAATAATTATATTATTAATTATATTGAAAAAAAAATGGTAGTTTATAATGTTTCTTGCACTCTTATTAAATTTATTTTATCTAATGCATGTTCAAGCGGCCAAATTACGAGCAACAACAGAAGGATAATTGGATAAAAATAAAAACACTTTCTTAAATAAACAATACACATGGGTAACAGTCAGTTCTATTATAATTCTCGTATAGTTCTGAACGTGTTCTAACGTTTTCTAAAGAGTTCTGACAATAAGCATTATTTATTTATATTTTAAATAATTTTTATCTCCCAAAAAAGACGCATTTACGGGTATATGGGTGAGATGCTGTAGAAAATCTCGGAGTTCTGACTTATATAAAATATTTTTCGTACAGTTCTAAACATACTAAAACAATTTCTAAAGAGTTCCGGGCATTGGCAATGTTGTATAATTTTTAAATAAATTAATAACGCACGAAAGTCAGGAATTTATCGAGAATGGTCTTTCTCGCGATAAAAATTATTTAAAAAATGAATAAATAATGCTTATTGCCAGAATAAAATGGGACAACGTTAGAATACGTTCAGAACTACAC